TGTCTCGGAACAGGTGGTTATTTTGATAGTTTTTAGACTGAAAACCGGGTAGATGATGATTATTAATTAATTAATTAATTAGTGTTGGGGGACAAAATTAGATAACAACTTTGAGTTTAGTTTATCATCAATGTGGTTTGGGTTGTCCCGTTTCAAGCTGATCTCGTGTTCTTGGTCAAGTTCGGAAATCTGGCACCAGAGGGCATCTTGAAAAAAAATAGAATTCTGGTAAATTTTTCATATGAGCTCACCTGGTGAATTGCTGAAAATAAGGTCGTTCTCTTTAAATTCGCACGTTGAGCAAGCAACAAGTTGTTTGGCAGATTTTGCCAGCGGTCCTTGGAACATCCACCTTTTGTGGGATTTTACAGGCGATGGGAACTCAAGTGGTAGCTGGCTTAATTGGTTTTGGGATGAAAACTTGGATTTGGTCGTAAGTCCCCGTATTTGTAAGCGAACCACTCAGAATTTTCTGGAGACGAAAATCTACGATTTTGTTGAATTGACGGTGCGAGAAGCGAGCACACGTTTTGTTCAACTAGCCCAAATTGTAACCAGGGTTTTAGGATTTTAGATTTTATTTTACCATTGGGCTCTTCCTTTTCGATGGTTTGCTAGTCTCGAAGTTGGGGTGTCAGAGTACACACAACACTGAACTTGGAACCAAAAGTCATCCTATTTGAGAAGGGGAGTCAAAGAAGTTGATGGGTCTGTAATCAGGGCTGTGAGGCTGTCTTGAGACAGTAATAGAAATGGATATTTAGACTGCAGACAGGACCACAAGGGGGGTGATGTACCCGTCGATTTATTAACGTTTCTTAATGATTTTTCTCTATCCTTGTTGAATATATCTCAAACAGCGGTGATAGTAAAATTGACAAAAAAATTGCTGTCTAATTATTGTTCATAATATTCTTACCTGAAATAGAATCCGTCACTGTCATCAATTAATTTGTCAAAGAAATTTTGGAAAATGATACAACGAACAAACACAGCTAATAATTTTGACTATATTAACCTTTTTCCAACTCGAAAAGAAGCAAATAGAAAACGGGTACCCAGTTCAAGTTCAGAGTGTATTACAACAGACAGCAGATGCGACAAAAGTGAGTCTCGCAACAATTGCAAGTATTAAAATTGCCCTCTGATTGGTCAATACTACTTCAGAAACGCGTTTGTAAAATGTTAGAGGGAACATATATTAAAATTCAATAGTAATTAACCACCAGTAGCTTTTTGTAGGTGATATCAACGACATAATCAATGGACATACGTTTTTTGCCACCAGTATCACGTGACTTTAAAATGGTATTTGTCGGACTATATAAGCGTGCACAGTTTTCAAATAATATTATTTTTATTCCTTAATTGTTCTCTTTTACTCTCATTGGGGTAAGGTGGTCAAACATTTATTGATAAATTTTGAATTTATTGGAGTATCTTATGAGACCATTACAAATTGGTCCTTGCTACCTTTTGGTAATTTTACCAATTACATTTAATAATAATTACTGTAACAAAAATTATTAACCCCAATTTGAGCTCCCGGTGTAACATACAAAATGTTGACAGGCAATGACATATTATAGGTTAAAAATGGGTGGAAAAATGCCAAAGTAATGTCATCTGAAGCTTTCTAGGTTAAAAACTTGTCGAAAAATACCAAAAATATGTTATTTCTGGTTATGAATTTAATGGCGTTTCCGATTGGTAGATCTAGTGCAGAACTAGTGCAATTTTTTCTATTCCTGTCTTTTTCTTCTACAGGTCGAATAAATGGATGCAAATACACTCAGTGCGCACTGAATCTACCAATCGGAAACGCCATAATTAATGTTTAATAGACCAGGAGATTTTGGAAATTTTTCTTGTACTACTTTTTTTTGATCGTAACTGTACATCGGAGGTACATTTTTATAGGAATCTTGGAGATCAGAGACTTTCTGGTTCCAGTCCGCGCATTTCATTTCGAAACCAGTGGCGCCCTATAAAGCTAAGTTTCAATATTGAACCTACTCCCACACCACTGAGTAGCCGCCAGCACTTTGTTGTTCTGGCCGCATTCCTCAAGGATGTCTACTGTACCTAGGCCTATTAGGGTTTATTTATTCAAATTTATTATTCAAACAGTTTAGGGTTAATTTTTACGCAACAACTGGATTCATCCTGTATGGAAAAAGAGAGGAACAGAAGGGGAATTTATAACATTATACAAAGAACGAGTAGACGATGTCAGAAAATTCGTTCAACTTATTGTTGTGCAAGATAGGATTATTTCATTTGAAAAAGCATGACACCCTCCATATTGCATTTTTAAAATCAGAGTCCATGTATTTTGACTTGCACAAGTCATACAAAACAGGATAACCACGGACCAACTCAACTTGTACGGCCGTGAATATCCAAAAATATCGTCAGGAACTAATATAACGATCACGTTGCAGTGCCAGCGACAGCACTGTTTGCACTGTAATAATACCATCAAATTCCTACGAGAATAATTTTGACTTCGCCGGTGAAATCACGCGCCGTTCATGGCACTGTCACGTCACTGTTATGTGTGAATCGACCTTTAACCATGGTGGAAACGTCTTCTCTTCTTACATGTCTCTTCAGAAAATGATTTTGCTGTTTGAAAGACAATAGTATAATTGTCCTGAGATTGACTAATATGTAGAATAACAGCCAAAGGTAAAGCACAAACCTTGGTAGCAAAGCAACGAATAAAAAAATCACACAAGTATTTGTTTGCTCGCATGATCCGCTACTTTCAATGAATATCATTTCATCAGCCAACCTCGCAACAAAAACTCTTTGCAGTATTGGAGTAGCTAAAATGCAAATGATGGGCTCCTCTACAATACAAATTTTAACATTAAGATTAAGTAGTTCTGTCTGTTTACTTTTTAAAATGTTCACTATATCCATTTTGTCTCTACTACCGTAATTTTTGAGCCGCCATTGTTCATATAAATAAGTAACCTGACGATCAAGTGGATTTTTTTGAGCATTAGACGATAACTTACACGCATCTTCCTCACTATTCTCCATGATGTTAAATTCGTGATACGATTTAGCTGCTGCACCTGTCATTCCCGAATTAAAATGAATATCTGTTTTGTGTCTTCAGAACAACGCAATAGGCTTGAAGATTGTGCTACGTTTGCCCTATGGGAATGATCGAAATTAATGTCTATAGTGACATTTAAACCTCTCTTTAATAAAGGCGAATTTTTCAAAGTAGATTCTGTAATTTTTTAAAACTTAATATACCTTACAATCGAAATTCTTATTTACTCCTTTTATCTAGTTTTTCGATATGTTTCTTTTGTTTGTGCAAGTTGACAAACGTATACTTTTCGGAACTCGTATGGTACAGGTTTAGAGAATCGACGTTTCAGTATCCAATTTGTCTGCTTTTTTCCAAACAAATCTGTGCGTGGTTCATTGTCTGGTGCCTTGAAATCAACACGGGTTTGCCATTGAATATTGCACCCGTGTTTATTTCAAGACTGCGTCAGTCTGAATTGAACACGGAAAGGTAAAATCGCGCCTGGGAGGCCACTGTCAGACTCAAAGATTGGGGACAATGGCTAGAGGGCTGAATATGGGACTTGCAAGTGCCTGGACTGACAACATCAGGACAGGACCTCCTCCTCACCAGAAGGGATGCAATGCCAAAAACTTCACCCCCCTCCTAGGGTCGTCATCCCTGCAAGGGACGACTGGCTAGAGCCTGACCCAGGCTTTCTCAAGCCGAAGAGACTCATCTGGTACACAGAAGGATCTCTGATGGGGAAGGGTACAGGGGCTGGTATATATGGGAAGAGTCCTGTGAAGAGAATTAGTCTTACACTGGGTCGCTACCCAACGTTATATCAGACTGAGATCTACGCTCAGGAGAATCTCCAAAGAGTTTACTCGGGCAAGTATATTTATATATGCAGCAACAGTCAGGCAGCACTCCGAGCCCTTTGCTCAGGCAAGGTCAACTCGAGGCTCAAGCTTGACTGTATGACAACCCTCATACTACTCAGTGGGCTCAACAAGGTCACCCTTGATTGGGTCCCGGGCACAGGGGTATAAAAAGCAACGTGGAGGCAGACCAGTAGGGTCCGAGTTTGCTCTTGGAGTTGCTGTCTGGTGAACATCAACATCAGGGACTAGTCCAACAACCGGTTCCAAGACGAATGGATGTAACAGGGAGTCCTCAGACAGGTCGAGAATATTTATACAAAGCCTCCTAAAACAAGCCAACTAAGAGCCATCACAGGCGTCCTGATGGGGCACTGGGTGGTCAGATACCACCTGCACAAAATCGGACTCAGCAATGAGACGGAATATAGGTTCTGTAGCGAAACTACCAAGCATTTAGTCTGCGAATGTGACGCCCTCGTCAGTCGCAGACTACAATCCCTCGGGTTCGGATAAAGTTTCCTGGAACCTGATGGAATAAAATTCGGCCTGAGTAGGTATGTAGGTACCTTTCTTAAAAATAACGGGCTCCTAAGGTAAGACAGATCTGCACTAAGAGGGGGATAGCACAATGAACCACATGCGCGACAATGTGCTGCCTATAAAGGCTTTCCTTTCATAGTAAGACTTTCACACATGCATCAGAAGATGAAAAACCTATACCCTACGTCTATCGAAAATGAAATAAAAAATGAATGAGCAAAAGCGATCTTGATGACACCCGGTATACTTGGAACTTTAAAAAAAATCAAAAGTACACAATGTATGGTTTGACTCTCGACAACGGCGAGAATCTGAATAGGATGCCGGGCTTATTGCATACTCGTTTCCAGTTTATTGGCTCTCGGAAGGTGCAATATAAGCGAAGTATACCAACTCCGAGAAACAGGTTTACAGGAGATGCCAACGATAGCATAGGAATAAACCTATTATAACGTGTCTCGAATCGAAATTCAATTTTATCTACTGCTATAGAGTTAGTGTTATCTGTAATAATATATTCCTCATTATTTTCTCATTTTCAGAAATGCAGACTGCATAGTTTGTATTGACAACGATGAGTTCGAGTGCCATCTTCTTGTCCTACAATGTTATTCAAAGTTATTTGATGCCTGTGCAGCTGTAAAAAAAGTTGAACTTCCATCGGTAAGTTTAGTAACATCCTACAGAATTAGGCATTGCTGCATAACAGCTAAATTGAATGGCTTTCCAAGAGAATGATTTTCCATTTTAAGTCCGCAAATGTCTATGGTACTAACACTCATTTATGCATTTTAGGATCAGTGTAGTGCGTCCGCTTTTTCATTTATTTATGATTGGATGAGTGGGGGTGAACCGTCTTACATTAACTTAACCAGGGCTAATGTTTTGGATATTTTCACATCAGCAGAATATTTAGGAATTAACGGTAGGTGTACACAAATCCCTCTTTTGAATGGCGATCCAAAACCTCTCCAAGAGGGGGGGATCAACTTGAACCACACCAGCTTTTTATTATGCAAAAAATCTTGGTTTTATTTTGCCAAAAAACGTATTCAAATTCTATACAAACGGAAACATGATATTCCTATTTTTTTTATTTTTATGATTCAGTAAAGGCAATTCATCGAATCAAATCACAAAGATATTGCAACAATGTTTATATGAGATCAAGAGCGGTTTGTGCGCTGAAGCTTGAGTCCTCCACCTCTATTGGATCCACTTGCTTTATCATATTTAAAAATTGGAGCATAACTTTCAGATTTGGTCGAACAATGTTGGGCTTTCATAGACAACGCAGAAATTTTCAATGAAGACTCTGCGTTTGCACTTTACCTCGATGCTAAGGAAAGAAATTTGCCGGAAGTTCAAGAACTAATGCTGCCAAGAATTAAAAAGTTTTTTTTGATGTTGGTTAGTTCATCAGATTGGTTAGAATTGGATGTGACCGATGTCAAAATCTTGCTTCAGTCTAATTATGTTGCCGTAAATTGGTAAATATTTATATTGTTACGTAGGTAGGTAGTACATTTATAGTCAATAGTGATATTCCTTTTAAAAATTTGAATTACTTAGATAAACTGAATTTTGAATAACTTGGATTAATCTTAATTTATCGCATTACTATCCCATTCACCGACGTCGAGAGCTGCTCATATACGTCCAGAGAATTCGCTAACAGTAGTCTAGTAATCTAATAATATACCTTATACAGAATCTCCAGTTTTTTATCGTTTACAATAAAATTTCAAGTAACATCAAATTCATACGAAGTTATTCAGTTCAGTTCAGCTGTTAGTTTAGTGTTAACCGAAACAAATGTTGCCTCCAGCATTAGGGATACAAGTTTCAGAGATCCAAATTAGTTTTCTCAATCGCCTAAATAAACTTTTAGAGTCTCCAAGTTTATCAGTTTAAGATTCGGATTTTATTATTTTAATCGAGGAAGTGACTGATAAGTAAGAAACATTTTTGTGATCATTTGCAAATAACCAATTTGGGTTGGGAATCAAATATATTCGGGAAACATATAGAATAATATATGATATTTGAAGAATATATAAGAATTTATGTTTAAACAAATCAAGATTTCTCATGATGTTTCAATGCAGTAATTATAGTAAAACTTTTAATAGTAATATAACGAGTGCAATGGAAATTATCGAAAATTTTTGGGAAATTTGCCCGAATGCATTTTTAGTTGAAAAAGAGCACGAGAGCACGTAGTGCACGGGTGCCTTTCTCAGTTAAAAACGCATAAGTGCAAATTTGTCGAAAATTATAGATATATTTCAATGGCACGAGTTGTTAAATGATCATTTAACTGGAAAATGCCAAGGTGTAGCACATAGTATTTGCAATTTAAACTACAAGCTCCCTGGTTTCATTCCGGTGTTTTTCCACAATCTAACAGGATATGATAGTCATCTATTCATCGAACAGCTTTGTAGCGGAAATGATGAAATTGATATTCTTGCACAAACTGAAGAAAAATACATCAAATACAGCGAATCTCATCCCAGTAGCACTGCCCTTTTCCTTGGAGATGTTCGCTCCGAACAGCTTCTACTCGCATCTAAGTCGCTTTATTTTTGCCTATATAGGGTGAATCTGAAAGTGAGGTTTTTTTAACAGAGTATATATCTCGCCGGGCAGATTTATTTCTGTTCCAGTCAAATATAAAGGATTCATGCTGAGAGCTCCTATAAGCCAGAAGGGAAAGAGGCATTAGTTTGTTTAATTATCGCTGGTATTTATCAAAAATCCTCGAGAGGTAATGATTGATGGTCCCGATCCCGATCATTGAAGTAATTGGGTAAATAATTGATACTCTTCTAATCTTGCACTGAAAATCATGTCATCTGTATCTCCGTTGGGTCTAAAGCCACACTGTCTCTCGGGGAGGTTCTCTTAGGCAGTTGAGATTGAACGATTTGATTAAATCCTAGTATGTATCTTTCTGCAACAGAAAGTAAAGCTATTCCTCTGTAGTTTCCACATTGAGCCTTGTCTCTCTTTTCAAAACTGGTAACTATGGAGGCATCTCTATGTATGGTTCCAGTATTCGATATTTTGCTTATTTGGATGTGGATTTAGGCACTAAGTATGGGTCCTCTTTTTTCAAAGAATTCAGTAGGAACGTCGTCAGTACCAGCTGATTTATTGTTCTTCAGTTGTCTGATTGCCTTTTTAACATCCTCTAATCTGGAAACCTCACTCATTTCTTGTTGTATTGGTTTCTGTGGAATTTCGTTGAAGATGTCACTATTAATTCGTGATTCTCTGTTAAGTACTTCCTGAAAGTGCTCCTTTCGACAAGAATTATTGGAAGAACTGTCTTTAAGCAGTCTTGTTCCATCTTTGGATCGTAAGAAATTGAATCCTTGAGTTGTTAGTCTATATAAGTTGTCATCGTCTTGAAGGCGTTCTAAGTTAAATTTGCGTTTGAAAGGGTTTTATTGAGAATCCCTGTCACATACTGGACAGGGGTCATCAACTAGAACTTCATACTTATAACACTATGTTAATCCATGCAAAGTAATTTATTTGCTAAAATTCAAAATTTTTCTAGTGAAATGGAAATATTTATGGCGGCTGTTCGATGGTTGAAGAACAACTACGAAGACCGAGAACAGTACAAGTACGAAGTGCTAAAGTGTGTTAGGTTTGGAAACATAGCACCTTGGCAATTGGTGGATATCAAAAAAAATCCAGAAAACCCGTACTTTATTGAATTGTGCCAAGATGCACGGATTTGCAAAATGATCGACGAAGGAATATCGTAAGTAAAATAACATTTCGCAATAGAATTACCAACATATTTCGAATATACCTTCTTATTTATAGTCACTGGGAGAATTAGCGAACGAATCTTTTCCTACGTGACTTATAATATGTTAAATAACTCACTTGCCTAATAGATAACTATGTAATATTGAACATATTGACTTTATGAAAATTTGCTGTCTCTTGTCGCCTAAACAACAAAGCTCTTATTGAAACTGACTTTAAACTGACTATTTAGACGCCATTGTATTTGGGATTTCTCTGGAAGAACTTGTGTTCTCGAATAAAATAAATAGAATTTCTGAAAATCCGTCCTGATCATAAACATGTCTTGCTTGCAAAATGGAGTTCTCCGAATAGTCGCGCTAGAATTGGAGGCAAACCACTAGATTCTTAGAATCCGACTTAGCTCTTGATGCAATTTGATAACGCTGCTTCCCTCACAAATCAGATCGCCTACGTCTGACTATTTAAAACTGTAGCACCTTCTCTTTTCCGTCTATAGTCTATACCTCCACTCAGATGCATGTTGACTGCATCTATTCAATTGCTCATCATCTTTATGCCTGTCTCAGTGGGCACAGTGCGTCAGACCGCTCGGCCTTCCTGATCTACCCTTACGCCTGCGTGGCTCCTCTTTCCTCGGACTGACGTCACGGTAACTAAAAGAAATGCTGTTTTTCCCTGTTGTTTGCCATGCTATCAGCCGTCTTGTCTGCGCCTTCGCCGATGATCGTATATAGCATCTGTAGTATTCCGTTTCGTGGAAATCGTGGGAAATAGTTTCTGTTTGAAGGATAATTTAACTTACGTCTATCGCTACTCTGTACCTGACGGTTTCCAAGATACTCGTTTTTAAAAACATAATAATTTTTCACTTTTTGACTCACAAAACTAACATTTTTAATCACGATTTTCTCTAAAACTGTTGAACGTAGGTGGGTAAAGAATATTATGCACTGAATATGCTTAAAATTTCTCTAAGAATAGGGTAGGTATCGATTTTACGGAAAATAAGCTTTGCAAAATTTGGCAACGTAGCAATGCAATGGAGGCCATTCCAGAAAATATATTTAAGATTGCGGCACTTCCGGTTATACCGAAGGTTGGTGTCAACTTGCCTGTTTTAAATAGGACACTGTATATAATATTTTATTTTTAGATTCTACTCAAAATTCACATATTTTTTTTTTTTTAGATTTGTGATAATCAAATATTGGTATGGTCAGGAAAATAATGACAAGGACCTGGGAAGCTGTTATGGAATGTTGGGGTTGGAAGAGCCCCTGGCAAGAAACTGGATGGGTCCTGACAAATCCTATAACACCTTCAGGGAATTTCTGATATACCTCGACCAGTATCGTAGGAGTCAACTAATTGACAAAACGAAACCTCTCTTAGCCCAGAAAGACAAAAAACTATCAGAAGAAGGCAAACCGGTATCAGTCATTAAAAAAAGTGTTCCAGCTTTCTCCAGTATTGAGGATTTTTTATCTCCGAATAGGAAATCAGGTTCTTCGAAAAAGTTAAACAAATTTTAATGTTGATAGATAAATTGAACGTATTATATTTTATCAAGTACTTTTGTGATAATTATTTATTTCAAATAGGAACCTACTTACTGGGGATTTCATTTAGGATAATTCCATTTCCTCACTGGCTAACTTATACCTAAATATTTATAAGTTAAAGAAAGAAAAAAAGTGTGTCAATTAATATTAGGAATAATAAAAATAGGAAATTGGTACATAATATCAATTAAAATCAGCTCTATACCTTTTCAATTTCAAATTGGGACTAAGCAACTTCAAATCGGGAACTAACAAAATCAAAGTGGGAATTAACAATATCAAATTGGGAATAATCATATTTAATTTGGTACTAATCAACTTCAAATTGCGACTAATCAATTTTGATTTGGGATGAAGCAAATTCAAATTGGGAATAGACTTATTCAATTTAGGAAAGGAACTGTCTAGAGTCCCGAACGCGGGATCGCTTGAAAAAAGCAAAATCCCGAATAGGCGTGGCTTGATAACGGCGTTCGGGACTTGGGACTTGCCAAAAATTATTCGAATCCCGACCTCGGGACTGTTGTAACAGAAGTAAGCTCCCGACTTATAATTTTATCAGATAATTAATAGAAAAACAAGGAAGTAGGTAGCAAAAAACAAATCTTGTGTAGGTATTCCTAGTAGGTTAACAAAATGGAAAAGAAACTTTGACATATCATTTTGTAGATCTTTTCTTTTTCTTTTTAGCTGGAAGGCCTATCGCCGTTAAATTCTTGCTTGCCTTTAGGTCTGCCTCGACTTTTAATAGGGTTCTGAAATTTGTTTTCATTAAATTGCAAATATACCTCTATACCAAAAAAAAAATTTTTTTTCAGAGGATTTTGCTCTTGCCGGTCGGTGTGTAGGTATTTTATGTCCTATTTCTCCTTCGCTTTCTAACTGTTGATCTTGTTTATCCTTGCTGCTCTGCTGCTGCTTGGCGCCTCATAAGTTTCAACAGGAGTGTTAGTAATTATTATTTTAGAATTTTCCAACTGCTGGTTTTATTCATCATAGTCCATGTGGATCTCATAAGTGTCGATAGGGGTATTAACGACAACTTGTTTATGATAAGATATTATTTCTGAATTTTCAAACTGCTGCTCTTGTTCATCATAGTCCTGAAACTCATAAGTCTCGATAGGGGCACCTATCAACAACAACTTGTTCATGATTAGGGATTATTTCATATTTTCATCTTACATCAGGTTTATATTTAACTGTCTTGTATAAATTAGGGGCATGATAAAACACACAGCAGTTGGCTAATCTAACCTAGGTGTATAGGATAAACAAATAGTACATAAAAAATTATTACGAACTCGGGAGTTTACTTTTGTTACAATGGTCCCGAAGTCGGGATTAAATTATTTATGGAAAGTCCCGAACGCAGTTATTTAAGCCACGCCTTTTCGGGATTTTCCGTTTTTCCAGCGATCCCGCGTTCGGGACTCTAGACAGTTCCTTTAGGAAATTATATTTGAGACTTTGACTTTGAGTTTGTTTTTCCTTTCGATTACATTCAAGTCCCTTAGAGAATCATGAACTATATATTTCTTCGAATTTGAGAAAAATATTTGTGCCAGACATGTTTTTTTAGCTCATATTCAACGCTTTATACCTGATGCGCTAAACATGGCTGATTCGCAAATTGCGAATGAAAACATTTCATCAAAATGAGATTTTTTAAAATTTTTCTTTCTTATTTCAACGTAATTTCAGGATTTTCCTCTATGTATCCAGTCATTTATACCTTATGTTCTTCTAAAATGTTTGCTTTTATTTGTCCCCCATGTTTCCTCTGAACAACTCCTTAGGTAGGGTAGGTACCTATATACCCATCGATAAGCTGTAAATTTTTTTATTTACGACTAATGTATAATGTGCGTATTATATTTGTGATTTTGGCAGTATAATGACATATGTTATTCCTCCAGGGATTAATGACGAGTAGAGGGATTAATGGTCATTATTCCACAAAAGTGTCAGTGTCAAACGTGTAGTGCTTGTGGATTTGTATTGAAAATTATGAGACGGATGAAATTTGTTCATTGAAAATCTCAAATAAATTAATTTGTCGTAAATAAAGTAGAGTATACTACTCGCAATAATGGCTATTATTCCCTCGGAATGTTACTCCCTCGCCGCTAACGCGGCTCAGTTCGTAATAATCCTCGGGAATAATAGCTATCATTATTGACTCGTGGTATAATCTACTATTATACCCAGTGTGTTAGCCAATCCTCTTCAGTCGCCTTTGATATTAAAAACAGCACATATTTGCTTTTCAGCATTTTCTGCATCAGGTGCTTTAATTTAAGGCATTTTGTTTATTTAGGTAATATACGGTTTAAACGCGTAACTGCCGTTTGACTTGCAAAACTTTGAAATCTATACAACAATTCCAATTTGAAGTTGATTAGTACCAAATTTAAATTGTTTATTTCCAATTTGATTTTGTTTATTCCCATTTTGAACGTGTTAGTTACCAATTAAAAGTTGATTAATCCCAATTTGAAATTGCTACGTTCCAAATTAAAATTGATTGATCCCAATTTGAAGTTGAAAAGGTATAGATATTAAAAATCAAATCAAAACAATTCTTTAAGAGGCCAGCAACAAATTCAAGCGCGCGAAATTCATTCTTTGTCGCCGAGTTCAAAGTAGGACCGTGATAGACGACGTTACGGCAAATATTTCCGAGATAACGGAAGGGTGTGATTAAATTGCATGGAAGGTGAATAATAAATCCTATGGGCTTTTGTGGAGGCAAAACTAATAAACCTATCATCTATATATATAAAACACAGTTGTGTTGGTGAGGAAGCGCTTAACTCGAGAACGGCTGTACTGATTTTTATGATTTTTGCTACTACATAATAAATCGAAAAAATCTAAAAAAAAAAAACAATTTTTTTTTTATCTATTTTACTTATTTATGAAAAAAACTCACTAAGCCCGCATACGGCGCCATCTCTTATAACCGATACCAAGTTTACCGTCACATTTTCATTGCAAACCATGTGGATTTTATTGTCACCCACTTTGCACAAAAACAATTTGAGGAAACCACTTTATTTTTAATTGTTCTTCACAGTAAAAATGTCCAAAAATAAATAGAATGACAATGTTTTAATTGTGTATTTTATTAGGTTGTTGGTTCGTTCATTCCGAAAGAGCGCGAACTGGTCTCCCTGTCATTTCTTGACGCTTGACCATTGACGTTCTGTGGCTAAGTTCCGTTTCTCCTCTCAGGCATCCCTTGACAGCCGTGTTCCGCGCCGACTGTTCGGAGTGCTCCGTCCGGCTGGTGTCGAGTGGCAGAGAGCCAGGTTATGAGTCCGCCACAACCATTTTGTATACGGCGCCATATATGATACCTAGAACGAAGCTCACCGATGCGCGGTAATTTCATTGCAGATGCAGTAGAACCATGCTGCTCAGAAACTGGAGATATTTAGAACAGAACTATTCTACTATTCTGATCAGATAGGGTGATGCAGAAATAGTAGATCAAATAGAATAGTGCAGATAGAGAAGAACAGATGGAGTAGTGCAGTGCAGATAGAGTGATACAGGGCTGCGCTGTAGATTTTTTTTTGTTTTCTTTACATTCTTTGAACATTCCTGTGCCTGAGTTTATTTATTTGGTGGTACACTTCACAAGAAAAATGCCCACAAGCTGCCTTGAAAGGGATGATGTTAAATTTTAATTTTAGGTGACTTACTTCTGATCTAGAGAGTAAACATTAATATTCTTCAACCAAAGCCAAATTCACCATCGGAAAAAAAACTGAATTTAATTCAGCTAATAGATACGTTAACACAACATTTAATAGGTATTTAATAATTCAGAGGCGCTACGAAGTTCGCCGGGTCAGCTAGTATTTAATATAAATTGAAAAGTATACAGTTATAATAATATGTAGTTTTATAATTTACATTGTGCTTTTTATTTAACAAATAAGAATGTGAAGAATGAAATGTGCGGAAACACAAAAATATATTACGAAGATAATAAAATTTACCTATACAAATACAGCAAAATAGATACTTGAGATGTTTACACCAAAAAAAAGTGAGGTGGCGTAGTTACGAGGGTGGGAGAGATGATGTTTATTACATAAAGAACTTCCAGAAAACCTAGAAAAATAAAAAAAAGGTTAAGTGTTAATTTCACACATTGGTGAGTTTGCACATGAAAACCTCGGACACATCGATTTTTGATTTCAGTTGCCGTTTTTCTAATGGTAATATCATGTATACAGGGTGACCCAGAAACAAGTTGTGACAGTTAACTTTATTTTATTAAATGAAAACTATAATTTTTTATTTTATTTCTTATTTCTACGTTACATTCTGAACTTATTTTATGTATCATGTCCTATACCTATCTTTAACTGTTTCGGAAATAATAACAGTTGAAAATTTACTTTTTTGCAACTTTGACAGGCTGTAAAACCTGAACGGTTGATTTTAGAGCTAAACCGATCATACATTCTTATCTTAGTTTTCCATGAACTATCATTTAACAACTTTGAATTTTACCGGAATTTTTATTCTTGGATTAAATTCCAAGCTGGTGTCAAATGATAGTTTATGGAAAAAATAAGACAAGAATGTATGATCGGCTTTGATCTAAAATAAACCGTTCAGGTTTTACAGCCTGTCAAAGTTGCAAAAAAGTCAATTTTCAACTGTCAGATTTCGAAAATTATAGATATAGACCCTTTTCACATTACCGGTTGTTTACATTGATGAAAGTATCTTTTTTTCTGTTAAAACTTTACAAAAATTTAAACATAATATATATAATTATCATTTATCGGAAAGTTTGAATAAAAGTACACTAAACGCTAACTATAGGCCTGTTCTCACAGAAATCACAAAACAAGTGAGAGCGAATTTTATTGGTTGAAAATAGTCAGAAAACTGGTTGTTAACGATTTGCACCAATCAAAAATGCTTTGACTGGTTTGTGATTTCTGTGAAAATATCTTCAATATCAAATTAATTCTTTTCGGCCACTG